AAACAGCATCTACACACTATTCAAAAGAGACAATAGAAAAGAAAACAAAAGGCCAGAACATCTCCTCACCAGTGAACATCACCCAGATAAGCAAAGATTACCACCAGGCACACAAGCAAACAGTGAACACTACCCTAATCAAGGAACTACCAGAGGAACAAAACAACCCCGCCCCCCAACACTGGCAGGGCATACCACAGTATATAAACAGAGAGCAAACTCCATCCCATTCCAGCACTGAAGATGTTACCTAGCCGGGTTATGAAACGTTTGCAAGAAAAGAACCAAGCTCAGAGAACCCCAAGGACTCCACAGTTCAACTCTGAGCTTCACATATTCACCTCTATTAATACCATTTTTGTTGTTACAGTTAAACAACCAAGTGTGTGTGTGTGTGTGTTCCAGCCAAGGCCTTTATTGTGCAATCCCTTTGCCTTGAGCATGGAACTTTATAGGGGATCCTGACAACATCCTTCTCCACTAGAACTCTCCTCCCAAATTTTCCTATCATGACTTCTGTCTTATTTTCCATAAAATCTTACAAGCAGGAAAATGCATTTTGGCTCTAACTTCAGGAATCTTCCATCTGGAAGCATAGCTGGAATCAAAATCTCTTGCTCACTTACTGCACACCTGTTGGAGCTCTACCAACAAGTCCTGCTCTACCCTCTGTAGTACCTCTCTTGCACAGCAGCCACTGTCTGTTCCCTGGGCCAGCAACAAGGCTGGTGATCCTGCCAAGCACCTAACCCAGTGTCTGCACCCAAAAGCTCCCAGCAATCACCAGGAATCCTGTGACAGATCATTGGAAAGAAAGCCACAAGGAAGTAGGGCAAAGCCATGAGAGCTGCACTAGCCAAGGAAGAGGAAGAACAGTTATTTCCACCTCCCTTCCCTTCACCTCTCTGGTTTCTTGTTCAGTCCTGCAAAAACCACCCTTGCTAGGGCCAGACAACCATTAGCCCAAAGCAAGAGAAGAGAGCCTGCTGTGCACCCTTGGAAACCAGCTGTGGCTCTGGCCCAAAGCGCTCATCTGGGGAGCTTCTGGTTGAGGGCTGATGTGCTGTCTCAGTCCTCTGTAGGAACAGCATCCCCACAGGTGGACTGCAGCAGAATGAAGAGCATCTGTTCTGCTTCCTCCTTCACAGGATCTAAACCCAGTGCAGAGACCTGGGAGATATTAGCTGGGGATTCAATCGGAAGAGGAATCTTCAGACCCTAACTTTTGGGCAGCCCCAGTCCAGCACACATCATCCAGCCCTCCCTGAAGATCAGGGAGACTCACTTAATCCCATTGCCAAGGTCCTCCTCCAACCCCAGCTCGTCAGCAGTTAGTCTCTCTCCAGCGGGGTCTACTCACGGGGCTCTGCAGAATCATGGTGACTCTCTTCTTCTGCTCCATCAGGTTGAAGTCCTGGCGCAGGTCTGCAGCCATGTTCCTGATGCGCAGGTACTCAGGATCGTCTTCTGAGAATCGGTCAAAGTAATGCTGACTTTGGGCGGGGAGAGAGGAGACCTCCTCGGGGATGGTTTCGTCACTCATTTTCGAACTGACGGTCAACTTTGGGGAGCTGCAAGGAAATGCAAAGGCCAAATTCATTACGCTGCCTGATATTCAAGCGCATTATTAGAGGAAATCAAATGTGCAGCTCAGCCCTCAATTTCCCCTCATGTATTAACATTTACCAAAACCATTACCAGTGTGCAAGACCATGTAAATTGATAAACAGATTTGGTAGCTGGGGAAAAATCCATTTTCAATAAAACAAGTGTGTTTATTTGTTTAGGGAAAAGTGCAATCCTGCTTAGAGATAATGTTCCCTACTCCTAGCAAGGGTGCTCCATTCCTCTCTCTTCAGAGTCCTGTGGGGGATGCAGGAGGGCAAAGTAGTGCCATTTCGCTCTCAGTCCCTTCCCTTTATTCTCCCCTCCGTGTGTTAGACCACTTGCCCAAATCTAGTGTTACTGGAGATGTATCTCTTGTATGATGGGTGAGATGGGCACGCAGGGTTCTGGTAGGAATTTCACCATAGACCTATTTTAGCTTCCTGGGATGTTGAAGGTCAGCAAGAACCCCTCAATCTCAACATTATCCTTCACAACTGAGGCCCCTAAACAGCTCAGCTTGTTTAGATTGAAGGCTGCTCTGCACCAACCTCCTGTTTCCAACACCCACCAGTTTTGCTGATTATCTGAAGAGAGACCTTTATATTCTATGCCTCTGGCTGAAATCAGGCTCCGGTCAACTAGCATAATGCAAATGTGAAGCTTAAACCAACAAAGCATAGCAAGAACAGAGTTCCCAGAGAACACAAGATCAGAAGCAAAACAAAATAAAAATCAATTTGCAGCTTTTTAAAAATGTAACTCCCAGAAACCCCAAATCAGTTAATTTTTTCCTATCGCTGTCGCCTCATGACAGCCTCTGATCTTCCACACCCTTCTATGGGGAAACAATATGTAAACAACCCCTACATTGCTTTCCCCAGTTTGGAGGTGTGAGACATCAGGATGGGGCTGAGTAGCAGGAGAGACTCAGCATCAGTTCTAATGCATCTTTCTTTCTGAGTTACAGCTTTGTTTCTAGGAAACATCATTTTCCAAGGATTGATTTTTTTCCAATTCCTCCCCCTGCCCCAGGACTTTAGCAATTAATAACAAAAGAACAAACTACTTATTTGTTTATTTATCAGATTTATATAGCCGCCCATCTCACACAAGGTGACTCTGGGCGGCGTACAACAATTAAAAAAATAAATACATAAAAACAGCTACATACAAAAAACTATAAAAACACACAAAACAGGAGGGGATAAAATTAATAAGAGAGCCATTGTAAAATCTCCCGGGTCCCCTGGGGAGCTATGTAGCCCTTGAAAGACGGTTTACAGCTCCAGGATTCCAGAAAGCAAAGCCCCTTTCTGCCTGCGTCACAAATGAATGCGGCTCTATAATGCCAGCAGGTTAACAGAAAGCCTCATATAAATTACACACTTAATTCTTCCTCTTCCATGGAGCTAATAGTATGTAATTTTAACCATGGAGAGAGACAGTTATCTCTGTGCCTCTCTTACTTCTAGCAGAAATCTGAGCAAGGATCCTGCCCGTGAGTCCAGATTTTTGTTAACTGGGTTGCCTCCCGGGATGAAGAATCTTTCCAGGGAACCAAACTTAACATAAGGCAGGTTCTCAGAAAAATGCTATAGGCCACATAACCATTTATTTTATGCTGGGCAAATCAGGAACCAAGCATTTGCAATGGCCTGGAGGCAATGGCGTCCTCAGAGGAGGAAGAGGACCAAGCTGGTGCCCCACAAAGCCCATGGAAAGCAACCGCGTTTTACATTCATTTGACAATCCCCCCTTTGCCCTCTCACTCTGGATGGCATGCATTCGGTACCCTCTAGATGCACCCCATAATCCCGAGCCCAAGATGTAGCCCAAGGTGGTATTTGGGTGCCAGGAAGTCTTTTTCAGGGATCTTGAAATCCAACAATGAGCTTCTCCCCTTCCCCATCACCCAGGGCCCCAGCTGGTAATTCTCCCTACCCCTCCCGGACAGAATTGCTTCTGCTGCCTCCCACTCTCCAAAGATGGAGGCATTGTTCCTGTTGCCTAGTTACCCAGATGTACCAACCACGTAAAAATAAAGACTGGTGTTAAAGTAAGTTGGAAGCTAGAAAAGACTTCCTTTCAGCCAGAGAATTTGCTGTGTCACAGATTTATTTTAAGTCTTTCTGAACCTGCCCTCTTCTAAGTGTGAACCCCAGGATGACATGTTGAGGAAGGGGAGGCCCTGGCTGAGGAGCATGAGGCCAGAAGAGAGAGGGTCTGGAGGTGGGTCTGGGGAGCCACATCTGCCCCAGGAGAAATGCTTTGGCTCTTACTTTTGCAAGGCAAGGACTGGGGGCTCCCATTCCAGATCAGAATCCAATAATCCAGATGGCCCAAGGATCTTGGCCATCGTTCTGCCCCACTGATGGAGGAACTTCTGGATACCGGAGGGTGGGCGAGCTGCCGCCTGCCCTGGGTGTTGACTGATGTCAGGACAAGACGTTCATCTGATTTCATGAAACTCTTCTGAGAATCACCCTTGAAAGAGCCTGGAAGGGAAGGAGGGAGAGGGCTTGGGGACATGTCTGTAGGGACATGAGTGCATCTCTAGGTGTCAGGCAGGGATCAAGAGAAAGAGGCAGCATGTAAGAGACCCCCATGCCTTCCCCAGGGAGAAGGAATGGTACCCCAACTCTTCAGCATCTCAGAAGGTGGCTTCAGAAGGGGGCACATAGACACAGGGCTCCAGAGCAAGCCATGGCCAGGCCAGACACCCTGTGGTTGCCTACAGTCCTGGGTAACGTGGGGAGTTGTTAATCTATGCCAGCATTTTATACCATTTTAAATCCCTTCACATTTTAACAAGCCAGCAAAGCTGCCAGAAATGTTCACACAGCAGCACTTTTTGACTTCTGTCATTAGACAGGAATGTCTGCATTTTCTAACAATGAAAAAAAGCTGCTATTTGCAACAACAACAGGCGCCCTGAGCTCTGATAAGTCTGATTAATTTATGATGAATTACCTCCCCCCCTCAATAAAAAGAATGGAATTGTCCTGCAAGAGCAACAACTCAACCTGATTTGCTAGAAACTAGAAAATGGTTTTGCGCTCTTTTCTTCTCCAGAATCAGGGCTGGCATATGAGCATTTAGGAACTATATTTACCCCTGTCTATGTCTACATGTGCAAAGCATTCCTTCTACTCTAAAAGCAAAGGAGAAAATACAGGTAGAGAAACAAGTATCAACATGACACTTTTTTTGAAACAAAATCTTTCCACTGCCAAAACAGAAGTATTTTTAAAATACCGGACCGTACAAGGTGGCAAAACCTCTGTGCAGACGCTCACAGCACCCAAAAGGCTCGCGGGAAAGAACAAGGGGAGGGTGGGAGAGAGGGAGGGGCACTTCGGACGTCACAACAGCCCCCGACTCCTAGAGCTTCCACCAGAGCAATTGCTGCGCTGTCTTTCCACGACTGAGCACTTGCACTGTCTGGGGTTAACTCTTCCAGTTTAGTAACTGTGCTCGCATCTACTTTTTTTTTACAGCAGGGCCAAGCAGCCAGTGCTCCGGAGTTATTTCGTAGCCCTGGGCTAATTTTTGGCAGCCTCAGGGCCATTTCAAAAGGCCTCTGTGAGCAATCACTTTAAACCTCTTCATCTTGAAACTCAGGAGAAAGAAGGAATGGAAAGGAGACGGCATAAGGGAAAAAAGAGTGTAGAGCATGGAAGAATGGAAGCCCGCCGACTGGCACCCCTGGCCTCACCCACCCACCCCTCACTTCAAGCCACCTGCAGCGCTGCCAGACCTCAGCTCCTGGCAGCTTCACGGACAGTTTTTTTTGGCAACAATACGAAAGTGCCTCGTTGTGGTCGCCTTCTGGGTGTTTTTTTAAGTTCCCACTCAAGCCTACAGCTCCTGCATTTCCTAGTGGTCTCCCATCCAAGCATTAATCAGCTCTGCTTAGCTTATGGAGATAAGCCAAGGATGCTGGTGTTGGGTCTTGCTGTGAAGTTGGTAGTGCACAATCCCAGAGAGGATCATCCTGGATGGGACACAGCCCTCGCCGGATAAAATGTCATCCATTTCTGCGTTAAAGGTACATCCTGAAATTAAATTGGGTTAAAACTTGTTCAATTATTAACCTTCCTTGCAAATGGCAGGAACTTAAAGTATAGTGAGATGTTTCAAATAGATTTTATAGGGTTGGCTCCTGAAATATTACTCAGAATTCCCTGACCAGGGACTCTGAAATTTGGGAAGGATTGGAAAATGTCTTTACTGAAATTTGCAGGCATACACACGTTTGTTCTCCAAAGATTTTGGTTAGCAAAAATAAGTCACTCGCTGCAATCCTGGACATACTGTCATTCTCCACTTCAGTGGCTCCAAACCAATCCAGAAATCTCCAAATCAAGCCTTTAAACCACCAAGTCAAGCCTACTTCTAAGAAATCCTGGAGAACACGTGAAATGTCAGATGACCAGATTCTGCATTGGTCAGACTCTGCCTCAAGTCCTGGTGTCCAGTCCTGCCCCCTCCAATTTGGGAAGGACTGAAATTGGAACAGTTCAGAGAACAGCATAGAGGATGATCAGGAAGCTGGAAATTAACTCCTATGAAGAAGACAATTTGAAAGAATACAGGAGATTGAGCTTTAAAGAGAGAAGATGGGAGGAGTGGGAGGTTACGATAGTCCTTCAAATACCTGAAGTATGTCACACAGAAGAAGGTCAAGTCCTATTTTCCATTGTTGCAAACTGCAAGACCTGAAATAATTTATTCTAGTTTCAGGAAGACTGAATGTTAAGAAAAACATTTCTAGCATGAGAGCAGCTTGACAGCGAAACTACTGACCCAGAGAGGCAGTGGGCTCCCCTTCACTGGAGGTGCTCATGCAGAGGCCGGAGATGCTTGAATTGGGACTCCTGTGCAGAACAGGAGTTGGGTTGGATTGGATGGCCTCAGGGACCCCTTCCAATGCTAGGATTCTATGTCCTGGTCTA